ATTGGAAATGGACAGACTCTTTACGATGCACATGGATAATTTTTGGTGAATGAGGCAAATCTTCCATTTTCCCATGACCAATATTTTTATAACTATGGGAAAAAAAAGTTCAAAGTTCATAAAGAAATGCCATATATTTCTTTTAGAATTCTCCTGTGCCTTTTCTTTGCTCAAGGGTTTCCCTGAGCAATGATCTAATCCATGATCATTAATACCTGGGGACTGCAGGCAATCCCGTAGAATTAGCATGTCTCATCCAACTCCTGGTACCTAGTCAGTGGCTGTGTGAAAATATGGGAATATAAACACCAGCCACCTGGACCTGGGGTTGGAGAACTGAGCCCCAGTGACACCAGAAGAGAAGCGAGGCATTAGAAAGATGTTCATAATTATCCAAATAATAAACTAGTAACAAGCATGTCGCTGTGACAAGCATGGAAATGCACACAGTTTACCAGATTAATCGTAAACCTCTTTAGTGGAGGCTCATTAAAACATCAAATATTTGTCACAGTAATTGCAGCTATGTGCCAGGAAATATGACACGGTAATGTGCACTGTCACTTACAGTTGCTGTGAAATCAGTGATAACAGGCATTCTGTTGGAGAATCCCAACCGTTAGGAACAAGCTGTCTGGAGAACACTATTATTGAGACTTCTGACTGACTTTGCACTCAATGGGCCAATCTGTCAGTGCAGATCCTCCTGGAGAAATCATTGCAATCAACAATCCCCTGTCTAGACAGGCCAGTATGTTACTGATCCTCTGTGGAGACAGACCAGTCTATTATCGATCCTGTGTCTAGACAGACCAGTCTATTATTGATCCTCTGTCCACATAGATCAGTCTATTGTTGACCCTCTGTCTAGACAGGCAATCCTCTTCCAGAAAAGCCAGTCTACAAATAGAAGCTGAGTATTACTGAAAGTAGGATGCAAAGTGACTGCTTTAGGGCTTTTGTTAAGTTGGCACGATGCACAGCAAGTAATAATCTGATCAGGGTAGTCATTGATCAGGAAGGAGGCTTTGTTACCCTTTACTTCAGTGAGATATTGGACAAGGCTTGGTCTTCTATCGTCTACTGAAAAACCTACCATCACTGGTCAGAACACAGGTCAGAATAATTATCGTTCCACTTGCCTTATGATTGGTCTTAGCAGTTACCAGGTAGATAGGGGCTGTATCACTTCTTCACCGTGTAAGCTTAATGCTCAAATAGGGTACTTGTAAAAGCCATCCTGTTGAATCATGGCTACCGAGCTCAGAAAGATCATCTGGTGATCACTGCTTTCCTGAAAAGTGCCCAGACAATGTCAGATGAAAGGTATTTCAGAGGTTTGAGCAGCAGTTGAAGCTAGATGCAATGCAGAAGCAACACAACTGGTGTTTGTCACTCAGAGATAGTAAGAACTGCCGAGGCTGGAGTCTGAGATAACACAGTGTGGAGCTGGAGGAACACAGCAGGCCAAGCAGCATCAGAAGAGCAGGAAAGTTGATGTTTTGGGTCGGGACCCTTCTTCAGAAATGGGGAGGGGAAGGTGACTGAAATAAATAGAGGGGGGTGGTGGGGCTGGGGAAGGTAGGTGGGATGGTGATAGGTGAGTGCAGGTAGATAGTGGTGAGGATTGGCCAGTAAGGTGGGAGGAGCGGATAGGTGGGAGAGAAGACGGACAGGTCAAGGAGGCGGGTTGAGAGGGAGGGTTAGTCATGGGATGAGGTGGGGAGTGGGGAGATTTTGAAGCTAGTAAGGCCACATTGAGACCATGAGTTGTGGCATCATTGTGATGCTGGAGGAGGCCCAGGATGGACATGTCATCCAGGGAGTGGGAGGGGAGTTGAAGTGGTTCGCAACTGGAAGGTGTTGTCGTTTGTCGTGTACAGAGCGCAGGTGCTCTACAAAGCGGTCTCCGAGCCTCCACTTGGTCTCTTTGATGTCACTATTGATGTTTGTCACTATTGCCTATGAACCAACATATCTAGCTGTCACTGATGAGTTATATGTTATATGAATGTCAGTTCCTATGTGGTGCCAGGTATGTAGGCCAGATGCCTCACAGTCTGACAGACTGTATCAACAGAATATCCTTTTGCACCAAAAACAGAAAAGTTGGAAAAGCTCATCAGGTCTGGCAGTATCGGTGGAGACAAATCAGAGTTAACGTTTCAGATTGAGTGTCCCTACCTCAGAACAGAATATCCCTTTGATTGTTTGCAACAAGCAAGGTATTAACTGTACCAACCAGACCAAGCTTGCAAACCTTATTACATAAGTGCCCAACATTATGTGATTCTGAAACATTTGCTGGATCATCCTGAGTGAGTGAAGCATTACACTGACAACCAGTTTAGAATTGTCAGACTCGTAGAGTCGTGGAAGATACACAAATTAATACCCTGGGGCCTGCTGTTTACAGACAGAGAGAACACATACATACACTGATAGTAGGAACTGCAGACGCTGGAGAATCCGAGACAACAAGGTGCAGGGCTGGATGAACACAGCAGGCCAGGCAGCATCATAGGAGCAGAGAGGCTGACGTTTCGGGCCTAGACCCTTCATCAGAAAAGGGGGAGGGGAAGGGGGTTTTGAAATAAATAGGGAGAGAGTGGGAGGCGGATAGAAGAGGGATAGAGGAGAGGATAGGTGGAGAGGAAACAAACAGGTCGAAGAGGCGGGGATGGGGCCAGGGAAGGTGAGTGTAGGTGGGGAGTTAGGAAGGGGATAGGTCAGTCCAGGGAGGACGGACAGGTCAAGGGGGCGGGATGAGGTTGGTCGGTAGGAGATGGAGGTGCGGCTTGAGGTGGGAGGAGGGGATAGGTGGGAGGAAGAACAGGTTAGGGAGGCAGGGACGAGCTGGACTGGTTTTGGGATGCGGTGGGGGGAGGGGAGATTTTGAAACTTGTGAAATCCACATTGATACACTGGTCATGTTTCAACTCTCAACATAGGTGACAGCCGTTTGCTGGTGCGTTGCAATGCCTTGATTCAGCAGAGTCAATCTACCTAGTTTAAAATTTAAACAATGCTCAGCAGTTAACTGCCAATCAGCATCTTTGAGTGTATTCTCCATGGCAACACTATGACCAATCAATCTCACTTGCCAAGCAATGAGCACTCTCCTCACGAGATAGAAATGATGATTTCCCTCTTGCTATGGATTTCTTGCTAATTGGCCCTGACGAGCGTAAACAAAAATGCTTTGACAGAAAGTGTCCTTTTCGGCAACACCCACCAATTTATTACTGATGCTTTGTTTGGACAGACCAGTCTATTACTGAGCCACTGTCTAAACGGACAGTCTACCATTGACCCTCTGTTCACTCAGACCAGGTTATTATTCACTCTCTGTCTGGACAGACCAGTTTATTATTGACCGTCTGTCTCGACAGACCAGTTTGTTATTAATCTCTGTCTAGATAGACCAAGTTATTATTGACCTTCTGTCCAGATGGACCAGTCTATTATTGATTCTGTGTCCAGACAGACCAGTCTTTTATTGATCCTCTGATCAGACACACCAGACCAGTGACAATCCTCTTCAAGATCCTCCCTATAATATATTCTGTGTGTGTCTAAGATATTTTTACTCTGCTCACCTGCCCAAGCATAAATGGTCGAAGGCATATGTTTACCTGAGAAATATGAACCACGCAAAAGTTCAGATAATTGTGTAATTATCTTTTCTATTGCATGTTGGTTTGTTGTTGGCTAGCACCATAAGGTATTAAAAATGGACTTCCTGTGATGCTGCACTTGTAGATGGCAGCCATCCTTGGTCCTGACCTCAGTCTCTGACTGTAACAGTAACAAAGCAAGCTGCTTCCTGTTCCATCTTCCTACGTGGGAGCCAAATGAGGATCAGAAATCTTTCTCGCCTCTGTGCTTTGGTCTATCACTGCATTGTAAAAAAAGGCGTCAAATCTGAAGGAAATTTCCTCAATGTTGTCAATAAATGTAGTCTGAAATGTGAAATAAGGTATTAATGCGATTTTGATTTCTAAGCTAATTCTTTTAAACTTCTCTTTGTTGACACGCTATTTGTAGGAGGTGCCTTTGGTCATTGCTTCAGCTATTGGCCCTGTTCTCTGAGTTTGGATCCATGCCTTTTGGTCCCCTCTCATAATAAAAGTGGATTACAATGATGGATATTTCTAATTAAAAGCAGAATCTGATGAACTTGTCTTGCTGAGCAAGTGGGATTTGCATGACTGGAGGTGGTGCATTCCTTCACAGCACCGTATCACACCAGCCGTGCGTCGTCTACCTCAACTAGATTCCTCAAGGGGTTTCTTAGATCAAAGGAAGATGCTTCAGAAAGAGTTCAAGCATTCATTATAATTACCGTTCATTTGTTAAGGCAGGAATATGCTCTGTGCTGCTTTCTCTTTCTCTTCCTTTGGCAATCCTTAAAAACCCTGCTCAGCCATAAATGCAAAAGAAAAGGATTTTAAATCTTGCCACAAATCCATCATTTCTCTCCAGTCCCACTAACCGACAACCTTGACAATCAAAGTTTAGCTGCCTTAAGTACTAACTGTCTGTGTGTGTGTGTAAATTAGCCTTTCGATGGAACAATAGGATTCAGCAAAGAAGTGGGAGTGTGATCAAAGATTGACAAGTAAAGCTCTGCAGTATCTTTTATGACAGATAAATGGAATTAGAATGCACCAGGTGGCATTTGCTAGATTTTTAACATGGTCAAAGCGCATTAACAAGCTAATTCTCACATCCCAGATGAAAATGTGTGCTGGGAAGTTTAATGCTACCCAATGGCTATGCACAGCATTGATCATGGAGTCCCTCAGGATGTTTCCGTCCAATTCCGCCACGCTCCTTAACGCAGTTTGTTCTCTGTAGTTGGCTGGGTATGACTGGTTGAGGGTGACTGGACGCGCCTTTTTTTCCGGGGAAAATTTCGAACGCGTGTTTCCACTCACCGTTACTGCGCGCCCCTGCTGACCCTTGCTGTTCCCCCATTCTGTCGTTTGGATTGGCAGGACTCCTCTGATTGCGGCTGGTGTAATCGGTGGGCTCTTCATCGTGGTCATTCTGGCTCTGGTGTTTGCCGTGTACGTGAGGAGGAAACGCATCAAGAAGAAACGAGCCATGCGCCGGTTTTTGGAAACTGAGGTAAAAAGAAAAAGAGGAGCACAAGGATCAATTAGGCTCGAGTTTATTTTGTTTTAAAAGTGGAAACTGTAAATGCTCAAAACGCAGCCAAAACCTAATGGCAATGATAGATAATGAAATCCTGAATGTTCATGTCTTCATTGTGATGCCCCATGTCTTTACACTTCTATTTCATCCGTAAACAGAGTTTTACCAGGGCCAATGGAAACCATTGCATCGGTTTTGACAATTGAAATGTTCACTTTGGTTTCTCATCCACCACATCTTTCATTCTGCCCCTTAATGTTCAGCCACAATTGCTGTGCTCGGTTTGTGGGTTATTCAGCAGACTCTGAATTTGGAATGAGGTGTGCAGTTGATTTTCCGATCAACTAGCAGTCAAAACCCCAGATCCTTGGAATTTATAAACCTCAAATTTGAAGTAGATTCTTTGTGAGCAGCTATGTGCCTGTCGGATAATTAAGGAACAGTAAGGTTCCTTGCTCACTGGTTGTTTGGAACATGAAGGGATCCCATTCCCCCCAAGGCTAGCTTGATAATGTAGAGCACGAGCGTTGGAGGGAAACAACAGCACATCCTTCTCATGTCCATTCCGGATTCAGAAATTGGCACACTTACCCAAGAACCAGCTGCCCTCAGTACCTATCCAGATTACTCATACCTCAATGTAAGCATGTAAACCAACAAGGAATTCATTTTAAACATTGTCTTTGTCATCCCAATCAGGACACAACAGCGTATCATGGCTTCCTTAGTGAGTGTAGGTAGTGTGAGCAGGAGACTACACCTATTCAGAAAGACGGATTATAGTAGTCTAACCATATAGTATTATTTTACTATAGTAGTGTAAATGCTAAGACCACAAATAACAGCTATTAATCTACTTTGTACAGACAGTCTTTTCCCATCTATATCTGTTCAGTCCCAAAACCCTCTGTCTTTTTAACAGTTTCTATTTTGTTGCCCCGAACATTCCTGTCTTCATCATGATGTCCCATGTCCACACACCTGTACTTCATCCATAAAGAGAGATCCATTCAGTCTCCTTCCAGCATCATTCTGCTCTGCTGGACTGAACTTATTCTACATTGAATAACTTCTGAATTAACTCCAAGCACATCCTACAAATGAAGGTACTGTTATGGCTACCCTCATGAGATGTGTGGAACACATTTTTCTCCAGTCCTGCTCAGGCATCCTCCCTCACCTCTTTTTCCAGTGACAGTACCAGGACTGTTTCCCGCTGTCACACTGAAAATTTCATCAAATTACCTTCAAAAGTCCATTTCCAACTCTTCCCATCCCATCTCTTCCATGACTTATTTGTTTCCATTCCTGGGGATGGGCAATCAAGCATTGTTAAGTAAAAGACTGTTTAAGCTTGCTTTGACTAAACATCCTTACATCCCACTTTATGTAGTGGCTGTACTTCATTCATTGGTTTCTCCAACTCCTTCGCATCTGTTCTGTTAATTCAACCTTCCATGCGTTTGCAATAGGCTTTCCTTTTTCCTCAGACAAAGACTCTACCCCACCCACACATACCTTTTTTGAAGGACTCTCAACTGTGTCCATTTTATCTCACGCACTCTGCTACCATATGTTCTTGTCCCTACCAGAACCAGAATACTATTTCCCTTGTCTTCACTTACCAGCTCATCAACAGCTTGTGTTCTGCCTTTCCACCATCACTAAAAACGTTCTTTCCTCCATTCCTGTATCAAGATTCTGAAATGACTGGTTCCTCCGTGACACCCCGAACCACCTGTCTATCACCCCTAAAAAAAATCCATTCCATACAGCATATTTTCATGCAAGCAGTACCTCCCTTCTCAACGTCCAAGGCCCCAAACATTCCATGCAGGTGAAACAGCAATTTACTTGTACTTCTTTCAGTCTAGTTTCTTATTCGCAGTTCACAACTCAGTCTCCTGTATAGTGGGGAGACCAAACTTTGGTTGCATGGTCATTGTATCGAACACCTCTTGTTCAGTCCAATATTAACTCTTTACCTAGCTCCCAATCTGATCTTTGTGTCTTTGGGCCTCCCACACTGTTTCAGTGAAGCTCAGCGCAAGCTGGAGGAAGAGCACCTCATTTTTTTTCAACTTAGCACTTTACTATCTTCTGGTCATAATGCGGGGTTCAACAATCTTAGGTTGTAACTCTATTCTGTTTAAATTTGCAGTTTTTTTGAAAAAAAGTGTCCCTTTTTCCTTTGTTATGTACTTTTTTCCACTTTACAATGATCCTACCATTCACACCGTCTCGACTTTCTTTGATTCCTTTATTACTATCCACTTTGGCCTTGCATCAGCAAACAATTTGTCATTCTATCTCCCCTCTTCCACTTGCTCAAAACCTACTACATTTTGAACTTCAGCCAATTCTGATGGAAGGTCACAGAACTATTAACTCTATTTCTCTCTCCACAGATGCTGCATTTCTTGTTTTTATTTCAGACTTCTTGCCCCAGTTCTATGGTATTTTGGTTTTGTGCCCATCATCAATCCTATCTGGACAGTGTTTGTTATTGAGTATTCAGGTGATGTTGTCGCAGAGTTGCTGAATTCAAATGAGTTTAGATTTGCTCTTGTCCTGAATTACTCCTCCATGTCTCTATTATCCTGCAACATTACAACCCATCACAGTTGCTCTCAACATTCTTCTTACCTGCACTCCACATTTGACAGCCATATCTTCGGTTGTTCGATGTCACACTGGGCTGCCTGCACTGCCTCGGTCACCACTGTCACCAACTCCCAACCCTGTCCCACTCTCTGACATTCCCTCACTATTTGATTCTGCAGCTATATCCCTGCCTTTTTGGAGAATTCTTGAAACAAACCTTGCTGAGCAAGCTTTTTGCTACCTTCCTGTTATACACTGTGGTATTTTTGTAAGGAAGTGGAAACTAATTAGCCAGGAACCAATTGCATGTAGGATATGTGTTCCAGTGGGGCCACATGTTCAGCTGCACTGGGGTGATGATTGTTATGTAACACACCACTGGCTTAAATGGTTAGCTGACCAGGCAAACATGGCTGTTATTTTAAAGACAAAGAGCGTTCTCCTTTTCAAGCTTACAATGTATTTATTTTCCAACATTTTGGAAGCTTTCTGTTTTTGCATTTTGCATTATTGGCATAATATACAGGAAATTATGCAGTGTGGAATTATGCCTGCAGCGCTCTAGTATTCAGCCTTAGGAAAGACAAAGCTGCCATTTATCAACACTGTTTCCTACAGTTAAATTGAGATTGCAATTCAGACAAGTCAAAGTCAAATCACATTCATCTGTGCAAGATTAGAACTCAAATTCCAGAGGACAATATTGTTGAATGTGGTACAGACACCTTCAAGTAATTTCTGTTCTCTTTTTCTTTTTATCTTCAGTTGGTGGAACCTCTAACCCCCAGTGGTGCTGCACCTAATCAGGCACAACTTAGGATCCTCAAGGAGACAGAATTGAAAAGAATCAAGATTCTGGGTTCTGGTGCATTTGGGACGGTTTACAAAGTGAGTAGTGCAGAAGTGTTTTGTCATAATAACTCAGAGCGTTAACTCCTGTCTGTTAGTGTTAACAGTCTCTTGAGACTTTTGCTATTCCCTTCGCCTCAGCTGCCTCCTAAAATTATGAGTTAAGACCTAAGAACCGTGCACACAGCCATATCCTCTTAATGTTCACCGATCTGTCTACTTCAGTTCCCCTCGTGGATTTTTCCCCGTTGTTGCTAAATTCTGAGGAAAAGAGACATTCCTCGAGCTAGAGCCATTTGTTGTGGGAGCAGTTTGTTTGTGCCGAGTATTTCTCTGAGCTGATGTTTTCCGTTTTCATCAGGGCATCTGGGTCCCAGAGGGGGAGACGGTGAAGATTCCTGTGGCCATTAAGATCCTCCGTGAAAGAACAGGTCCCAAGGCGAATGTAGAATTCATGGATGTAAGTCGATGGCTTGTAGCTCCTGATTAATTTTGTGAGTACAGTCATGGAAACGAGGGAGGTGACAGTTATTGATTCTGCTGGAGGTGTCAATGAAACTAAAGAATGAGGTGTTTCAAATGAAGTTGGAGTACTTAGCTGGAGGTTCATTTAGCTGCTAGTTAAAAATGATTAAAGTGCCATGCTAGCAAACGGAGCCTTGCCACACACAGGCAGCAGTCGCATCATTGTAGAAGCAGCTCCTAACTAAGGATAATGTATTACTGATGAATATAATCAGATGATACAGTTTTCACAGTTATCATGGTGAAGGTGTAATTAAGCTAAGCACGACAACATCGCATCAATGTGAAATCTATTCAAAGACGCCAGCTGAATTTACAGTACAACAGAAGAGAGGGAAAAAACAGCACTATGCTTCAGCTCGTCTCGATTGCATTACATCTGGGCAGTGTATGTAATCAAACACCATTTACAAAATGTTCAATTAGTAGTAACTACCTTGCTATAATTTTAGCTCCATCAAATTTTCTATCATGAAAGGGTAAATGTTTTAATCAATACTGCGTCTTTTTTGGCCATACAGTATATGAGGGAGGTGGTTTTATTCTTTGATAAACCATCGCTAAATCAATTAATGTTTCAGTGATAAGTGATTCTACTAGTGCAATGAAAGCTTCAAGTGACCTATATGGTATAGGTGAATGCATATATTGGACATATCCTAATGATACATCATGATGTATTATATAAGCTCCATAGTAGTACATTAGTTGCAAGCTAATGTAGACAGATGAGCAGCAGAGTGTGGCTGTGTGTATCATGGCAACAAATCATGGAAAAATTTTAAAAAGAAAAACTTCTTTAAACCACTTTTCACAACCTTCAGACATGTCAAAATGCTTTACAACCAGTGAAGTATTTTTAAAGTGATATAGGGAACACAGCAGTTTGTATTTGCACAGCAATCTCCCACAAACTGATAATGACCGGATAATTTTTTTCTGTGAAACTTTTTTTAAAATTTTTTACACATGGGATGTGGGCATCTCTGACTTGCCCAGCATTCATCGCACATCTCTTATTGCCCAGAGTCAACCGCATTTCTGTGGAGCTGGAGTAGGCCAGACCAGGTAAGGAAGACAGATTTCCTTCCCTAAAAGGCATTAGTGAACTGGAAGGTTTTCCTGACAATCAGCAACAGTTTCACAGTCATCATTAGACTCTAATTTCTCTGATCCTTTTTATTGAATTCAAATTCCACCCTCTGTTATGGCTGGATTTGAACCTATGTCTCCAGAACATTAATCAAGTTTCTAGACTAATAGTCTACTATTAATACCACTAGGCCATCACCTCCCCTTAAACTAAGCTACTGGTTAAATGATATATATATAGTGGCCAGGGCACCAGGGATAACTACTGTGCTGTTCTTCAGAAAAGTGCCATGGGATCTCTTACATCCATCTGAGAGGGCAAACGCAGCCTTAGTTTAATGTCTCTTCTAAAAGACAGCACCTCCAACACTGTAGTACTGTCTCAGTGCTGCACTGGGGTGCCAAACCAAAATCGATGCATTCAAGCCCTGGACTGGGACTTGAGTTTAAAAAATTACCACTTAGAGGCAAGAAAAACACCAGCTGAGACCTCTGCTTAACCAGTCGTTCACATTGACCAGTTTAGTGAAAACAATGGAAAATTTGACTGACTGAAAAATGGCAGGTAACAGGAGGGTCGTTAACCAGAGGACACAGATTCAAAATAATTGATCTAGAGAGGAGCTGAAGAGCTTGTTTTTGTTATGCAGTAAGTTACGATAATGTAGAATGCACCGCCTGAAAATGTTGTGGGATCAGTTTTAATAGTTTTCAAGGGCAATTAGGATACACGTTTAAAAGGGGAAGAATTGCAGGGCAATGTTAAAGATCCTGGGTTTAGAAATTTAGTTGAACAGATCTGGCTCTTTAGTCGCTAAACAAAGGTTTAGGAGCAGGATCTCTGAAATCAGGACTCATTCACCAGAGATCCTCTCTAACTTTCTGAAAATTCAGGCCTGTTTCTTCTTGCTCCAAATTCTTGAGCCAGAGGAAACAACCATTCAGCATCTGATGAAAGGTTAAAACAAAAATAAAAAGGCATGAAATGTTAATGCTGTTTCTCTGCACACATGCAACCTGACCTGCTGAGTTTTTCCAGCATTTCTTGTTTTTCTTTCTATTTCTAGCATCAGCAGTATTTTACTTTGGTTCTTTCCGGCTCTCCTTTGTCAGGCCTCTCAGAATCTTGCAATCTTTAATAAGTTGGGGCGGCACGATGGCTCAGTAGTTAGCACTACTGCCTCACAGTACCAGGGATCCAGGCTCGATTCTAACCTTGAGCGACTGTCTGTGTGGAGTTTGCACATTCACCCCATGTCTGTGTGGGTTTGCTCCGGTTTCCTCCCACAGTCAAAAGATGTGCAGGTTAGGTGGATTGGCCGTGATAGTATTGCCATAGTATCCAGGGATGTGTAGGTTAAGTGGATTAGCCAAAGGAAATGCAGGGTTACAGGGATAGGATTTGGAGGGGTAAGTCCGGTTTGTTGCTCAGAGAGTTGGTGTGGAGTTGTTGTGCTAAATGGCAGTTGAGGCAAAATCGTTGAATATTTTCATGAAGGAGATAGATATAGTTCTTAGGGCTAATGGGATCAAAGGGCGAGGGGAGAAAGCGTGAATAAAATACCGAGTTGGGTGATCAGCCCTGATCATACTGAATGGCAGACAAGGTTTGAAGGCTGAATGGCCTACTCCTCCTCCTATTGTATATGTTTCTATGACTACTCAGTCCCAATGGACACAAAAGAAAACAGAAGCAGAATTATAAAATTATTGAATTTGTTTACAATTGAGGTGAAAGTCTTTACTAAACTAAATGACTCACAGCAAATAAATCCACGCGGTTAGATGGTGTCTATCCTAGATTTTTGAAGAGGACCAGTTGTGGGGTGGCGGGGGTTGGGGAGGTGTATTATGAGGCACTGAGAATCATTATACAAATATCATGGATGTTAGGGAGGTCCAATTAATTGCAAACAGCCCAGAGTGCCATATTCAAAAAGGAGGATTCAGACAGCAATGAACCCAATAATCTTCTGCCCAGTATAAAATAGTTGCATCCATTATCAAATGCAAACTTGAAGAAAAATACCACATCAATAACTTGGTCAGAATCACAGCTATAGATTCAGAAGATGTAGTTCCTGTCTGATCGACATCCTTGGAGTTCATTTGGAGAATTAGGTCCCAAGTAGTTTCCATTATGCCTTATTATGTTGCACTGAATTTGTAGAAAGCATTTAAGAAAATATCTCCACAGACAGCAATAGATTTGCCAGAAGGGAGGGCACTGGGGACAGAGCCCAAATGAGTCTGAATTCAGGTAGGAGAACTCTGAGATGGGTGCGCATATGAGTGCGATGGTGCCTGTATCCTGGCACTAAACATCTGCTCATGTCATGCCCAGTTTTTTTGCAGAGTGATGGGCTGCTTTGGTCAGAAGCAGTTGTCAGGATGCCAAAGTGTGACACAACAGGCTGAGGATTACCCAATCAGCCATGGTCTTTTGAATGGTGGAATGGACTCGATTGGCTGAATAGTCTACTTCTGCTCTTAAATATTCTGATTTATCAGAGTGGACTGACAGGCAGGACAAACAGTTGGGAGTGCAGAGTGATAGCGCACTGCTGTGAGCAGGTGGTTAAGTGGAATTGTTTTGCTGACCAGTAGGTGCTCCCAGCTCCAGGAATAGCTTTGTCAGCCACTTGTCAAAGTGTTTAAAATACCCCGAGCTCCAAAATGCTTATTGTGCTGCATGGGGCTGACTGATTATGGTCAGCTGATGACAATAATATCAAAAGAAACAGTGTTAATAATAGTCAGCAGCTGAGAAGGTGGAAATGCCAACTTGGGAGGAATTAAACTATTTGAGGCTGCTGATCGAAAGCAACTGTTCAGTCCCTCTTGCCATTATTTATTTATTTTTTGTCTTGCCTTTGAAAGAATACGTCAGATTCTTCACAGCTTGCACCTCAGTTTAAAGAATGGCATATTTTCGATAAATTGCAGTCTGGTGTAATATGTTCCATTTGAGACTCTGCACCCTCGACAGGTTATTTTGGCTTCGAAGGGTATGCATCATAGATCCATCAGAAAGGAATGGTGTCAGAAAGGTTTGTTTTGAGCAAAGCTTACATAGTGTCAGAGTTGTATTCCCCTGAGTATAAAGGATTAAAGAGAAATTGAATGGAGGCGTTCAAAGTGACTGAAAGATCTGATTTTACATGGGAACAGTAGCAAAATGGTGATGTGAGTGGAGGAATAATGCAAAGGGCAGGATTTGTGACCTGGAGAGACAGATTTAAATGTGATGATGGTAAAGTGGGAATTTAAATTCAATTAAATAAGTCTGGAATAAAAAGCTACTACTAGTATTGGTGATGATATAACCATAAAAATCCATCTGCTTCATCAATTCCCTTTAGGAAAAGAAATCTGCCACCTTACCTGATCTGTCATACATTTGACTGCAGACTTAGCTATGTGTTTGACTGTCAGTTTTATTCAGGTCTATAAACTGTTCAGTTCTACCAAATCAGAAACGTTTTTAAAGTTGTTCATGGAATGTAAGCATCACTAGCCAGAAAGCATTTATTGCCCATCCCTGAATGCCTGAGGATTGAGCGCAGTATGGTGGCTCAGTGATTAGCACTATTGCCTCACAGTGCCTGGGACCGGAATTCGATTCCACCCTGGAGCAAATGTCTGTGCAGAGTTTGCACATTCTCCCAGTTGTCTGCATGCATGTCTTCCCACAGTCCAAAGATGTTGGTCAGTGCATTGAGTTTAGGAGTTCGGAGGTCATGTTGTGGCTGTACAGGACATTGGTTAGGAGCAGATGGTGCAATCTGTACCGAAGACAGCAGATGCTGGAGATCACAGCAGGTCAGGCAGCATCTATGTAGA